TCATTCTCTTATCTTCTTCTTCACCATTTTCTTAAGTTTTTCTTTAGTTTTTCTTGTTTTGGAGAAGCAACACTTTGAGACTTTGCCATTTTGGATTTGTCTTGTAATTTGCTCTTAACTTGTGGATTTCACACTAATAGTAAGTTATTTCTTTCATTTTGTTTATGTTGAGAATGACTTTGTTTAATGTGAATGCTTGTGTTGAATCAATTATGAGTAGCTAATCCTCTAGCTAGGGTTAGGGGATAATCATTCCGGTTTGTTCTCGTTTATGTGCATGACGATAGCTCAATCTTGACGAGTTGTTTTAATTATGAATTGATAAAATCATACTTGATAAATTGTTATAACCTAAGAGTGAAACTTAGGTTAATTTGTTGATATAATCGAAGAGTGACACTTCGATTTGTGATTGAATATTGATTTGTTGGGTTAGAGTTTGTTAATTTTACATGATTTGTTGATTAAACACCTTCTAATCGAATTGCGACTTTTAGAACCGAAAGGGGAGGAGTCATAGAGATAATCGATTTCGAAATCGAGAGGGGAGAAATTGGTAGAACTTGGCTCATTGAGAGTAGACATGTTCGGAGACGTATTGTCTATGTGTTAATTGTTTCGTTAATTTGCTCGTTTATGTTTATCCGCATGTTACGAAGAGTTATTGAGGATAAACCGCTAAATGAGTTAATTAGTCGAGCCACTTAACCGAGTTATTGATTGCCGATAAATGTGTGTAGAACTAGAAGCGATTATCCCCGATTCCCTAGCTTCTTTATCTTTTTGTCGTTTATATTTTTAGGTAGATTATTGTTTTATGTTATTTCTTAGTTGATAATTTTCCAACCCTATCGTGGTTAAAATGTTTAGGATTTATTTTCCTTTTATGTGTTATTAACACCAACTCTAAATTCCGAACCGTCTTCCTCGAGAGATCGACCCAGGGATTGAATCATTCGATTTGGTACTCGGTAAAAGCAAACAGTTTGTGCTACAACATTGGATGAAGGCTAGGGAATCTCTGAAATTAGGTGTTAGGTATAAAATAGGTGATGGTAGGTTAGTTGACATCTGGGATTCTCCATGGATTCCAGAGGTCAAGGGGTTTAAAACTGTTTGCACCTTTTCTGGGGATAGAGATAGGATGGGTAAGGTTTGTGATCTCATGGGGGGAAATGGGAATTCTTGGGACAGAAAATTAATATTGCAGACATTTGATCCTGCCATTGCAGGAGCCATATTAGATATCTCTCTCAGTTCCATTGGAATGGGGGACAAATTGGTGTGGCATGGGAATAAGGATGGCATATTTTCTTTCAAAAATGTGTATAGACTGATTATGAAACATGGTAGGTTTTTTGCTAAGGACAAAGGATCAGGGAGTAACCAGATTTGTATTGATAAAATGTGGAAGGTGACATGGAAACTCCATATCCAGAACAAATTAAAAAAAAAAATTGTGGAGGCGTTGGCATGGGTTTATTAGTGTTAGGGCTCAATTGATTAAGAGGGGTATGAGAGGGGATACAATGTGTGAGATGTGTGTGGAAGGTGAGGAAGACTTGAATCACTTGTTGTTTTCCTGTAAGAGAGCTAGAGTCTGTTGGAAATTGCTAGGTATTAGCTGGGATATGTTTCTACGGTTGAGTTTGGGGTGTGGTGGTCTGAAATTTGTAATGCTTCAAAAGCCACCACAATTATTGACAGAATAAGCTTATCTTCCTATTTGATGTGGTGGCTTTGGAAGACTAGAAACTCATGGGTTTTGAAAAAAAAAATGGGTGAGGGAGGGTAGGATAGTTTAAGGGGCATTAGATGATTGGCTTTCTTTCAATGCTGGGGATGATGTTATTCAGAAATGTGGGGAAGGGAATAGGGGGATTGAGAGTGGGGGAGAGAGCAGAATTGTGCTGTTAGCTGTTGGGTTGGGAATGAGAGGGCTGGGATGGGTGGGAAAACTTTTACAGCAGTTGGGGACTTGCATGTGTGGGATACATCTATGGACTTTCGAGGAAGTTCAGTGGAGGCCTATACTGCGGGCATCAGCTGGGTTCTGGAGTGCACAAGGAAAAAGAACTGGAACAATATCATCTGCCATGTTGATTGTCAGGAACTGGAGGAACTAATGAAGGGACATCCTAAGACTTGGCATCAACTGGGCAGTATGGGCATGGAAATCAGAGACTTGTGTACTGCTTTTAACTCTTGTTTTCTAGATTTTGATTATCATGCATGTAAAGATTGCAGATTTATGGCCAAAATGGCTCTTCAAGGAGATTTGTAATCATTTTCCTGTGTTGCTCGAGCTTGTGTGAGAGCTAGCTAGGGTAATTGTTGTTCCTATTTGGGCCACACATTGTAAGACATTTTATTCAGTTGTTTGAAGTTATTTGATGTTTGGAAAAAAAACATACGCATGAATGGTTTATGTGTATTGAGTATTTTCTGGGTTTGAGGATCCAATTAAAGTTCAATTGCCGGTATTAAGTTAAATTATTCGGCACTTCAAGATTAGTTTAAATGGATTAATTGAAACAAAATGTTGCCAAAGTGACCTCTTTTGTGTAGATTGATTCATTTAAATACTAAAGATTGATGTATTTTTGTAATTCATGCGTGTGTTCATTAACCCAAAGGTGAACTGGCACATAGCCGAATTGCAAACATACCTGTGATAATAAATCTATGATAATTATAAGGTTTTCATGTGAACAATAATTTTATCCAAAGATAGTTTTATTGTTTGACATAAATTATTGTCAATATTTGATTATTACAACAAGAGCACCACTTACAATTAATATTACTATCCAAAGATTTGATATTAATGTTGTGCTTGGTATCTTGCTATGGATTTAAATCATGTTTGGTTTAATTGATTAAATATAAATAATAATGTGAGCGCTTCTGTTTATTATTCTCTTTAGGTTCTTCATCTATGGTATCTACTAACTATCCAGTCCTCACTTTATCTGGGGACAACTTCAAGAACTGGAAAGAATCAATTTTGATTCATTTGGGTTGTATGGATCTAGACTTGGCATTAAGGATAGACCAACCTGCATCTCTTACTGAGAACAACACTACTGAGGAAAAACAGTGTATTGAGAAGTGGAAAAGGTCTAATCGCCTAAGTCTTATGATCATAAAGAAAAGCATTCCAGAATTTTTTCGAGGAACGATATCTGATGATATCACTCTGGCTAAAGAGTTCCTTGTCAAGATTGAAAAGTGCTTTAACAAAAGCGATAAGGCGGAAATGAGTACTCTTTTAAAGAATCTCATTACCATGAGGTATCTCGGCAAAGGTAACATAAGGGAGTACATCCTCAAAATGTCCAATATTGCTTCTAAGTTGAGGGCACTAAAGTTAGACCTTTCGGAGGACATGCTTGTCCTATTGGTCCAGCTCTCTCTTCCTACTCAATACGATCAGTTATAACTGCCAAAAGAAGAAGTGGACTCTTAACGAGCTCATTTCTCACTGTGTTGAGGAAGAAGAAAGAATGAAGCATAAAAGGGTTGAGGAGGTACATATGATTGGTACCTCGAAAGATACTAGTAGCTTTATAAGAAATCATAAGGCCGTTAAGATTGAGACTGCTAAGGGTCCAGATCCAAAGTTTAACCCGGAGGAGATTTTATGCTTCTTTTGCAAGAAATTTAGACATCTAAAGAAAGATTGTGCTAAGTACTCCGTCTGGCGCGTAAAGCAAGGTACATTCTTTAATCTGGATTGTTCTAAAGTTAATTTAGCTTCAGTACCTCGAAACACTTGGTGGTTATACTCTGGTTCAACTACTAAGATCAGTGTTTCAATGCAGGGTTGCCTGAGCCACCGAAAACCAACTGATGCTGAAAGATGCACTTACTTTGGAAATGGTGAATCGGTGGATGTGGAAGTTGTGGCCATATTTAAATTATTATTAAGTACATGACATTTTGTAGAATTGAAAGACACTTTTGTAGTACCGTCTTTTAGACGAAATTTGGTTTATGTTTCTTATTTGGACAAATCTGGTTATTATTGTTCATTTAGAAACAATAAGGTTGTGTTGTCTTTTAATTATAATGAGGTTGGTTTTGGTATTTTTATGGAAAATGATAATTTATACTATAACTTCCTATAATGAAACCCTCAATGTGGAATCAAAAGGTACTAAGCGAAAATTGGATGAATCAAGTCTGCTATGGCATAAACGTTTAGGACATATTTCGAGAAAGAGTTGAAAGACTCATGAAGGATAGAATTCTTGATTCTATTAATTTCTCAGATTTTGATATTTGTGTCAATTACATTAAAGGCAAACAAACCAAAGTAAAGAGGATAAGTGCTTATCGAGCTACGGAAGTCTTAGAGTTGATACATATGGATATTTGTAGGCCTTTTCCTACACCTTCATGGAATGATCAACAATATTTTGTATCATTCATTGACGATTATTCTCGATATTGTTATCTATACCTCATATGGGAAAAATCTGAGGCCTTGGACATGTTCAAAGCATTTAAGGCTAAAGTTGAAAATCAACTCAGCAAACGCATTAAGATCGTCAGATCTGACCGTGGAGGTGAATATTACGGCAGAAATGATGGATCTGGTGAACAACGTCCGGGCCCTTTTACTGACTTCCTTAAGGAGTGTGGAATAGTTCCTCAGTATACTATGCCAGGTTCACCTAACATGAATGGTGTTGCTGAGAGACGAAATCGCACATTAAAGGTATGGTTCGAAGTATGATTTGTCAATCTACTTTAGCACGATCCTTGTGGTGGAGCGGGCCGCCATCCTGGCGGGTCTTCAAAATGCCAGCTCGGCCCACTCCGCCACGGGCCGCGGGGTAGGCGAGCTGGCCCATCCAAA